TCTGATCAACCTCTAGCCTCTCCCCGTCGCCGATAGATTCCAGACGTATCCCTTCCCACGCGCAAGAGAACCGGACCCACGGAGCCTAGCAAACTTCGTGTGGATGAGTGAACAGGAGAACCCACGGAGCCTAGCAAACTTCATGTGAGCCCTTACGACCGGCCTCAGAGCTCTTCTACCCGGGTTCGAGTCCTGCAGGTTTATTTTCCCGTCGCCGAAACCCTTTGCGATGTACCCTCGTATTTTTCATCTTCCCGTCACCGGAACCCTTTGCGACGTACCCTCGTGCCCTGCAGGTTCGAGTTTTGTTTTCTTTTCTGTCTGTAACCGCAACTCAAGCAAGGTTTTCAGCCTGCACCACTGCCATCTCGGTGTAAGTAAACAATCTTTTAAACTACCGATACGCGTTTGTGCCTAATTCCAGCTCGACGGCCTTCCCTCTCCAACCCGGTGTGCCCGGGCTGCTGGCCACAGCCCGCGTGCAGCGCAGAAAAGGGCTCGGGTCGCTCCCGGCCCGCACAAAGTGTTTTGGAAAGCATCATATATAAAGTGTTTTAAAGCACAGCTGTCTTTGCAAGGAGAAAAACCATTCCACTTTGTGATCAAAGCATGTTAGCATATATATCTTTTAGAGTATATCCTCTCCATCTTGAAATAATGCATACACGAATTTCAAACCCCCATCACTTCTGTACTTGCTGCATTAAAGCCAACTAACAGTGCAGTGATAGAGATACATGAGAACAATGCATAAACACTTATTACTGAATATTCTAGCACTATTTGTGGCCAACTGTGGCCAAAATAGTGTTAGAATGCACTGAAGCCTGTTAAGACTGAACGGGTCCCCCAGCCTGCTACTTATTCTGTCAGGACAGTATAAAAGGAAGAGGAATCTGGATCAAAGGTGAACTAAGGACTTGTCTACATATGGGTTAGTGCACAGTAAACTAGTATATGAACTGACAGGTACACTAGCTACTTTGCACACACCCCTGATGTGACTGCTTTTAGTATACAATAAGTGCAAGATAGCTTACCATCCTTGAAAGAGCTCTGTGTTTGAGAGCTACTGCAAAGTACAGAAAGCTCACATAACATAGAGAAGCTTAGTGCTCTCATTACTAACACAGTAGTAGTTTGTGTGCTGAAAAATCCAAACCCTAGTTTATCACAGACTAACTTCCCTGCACAGAAAAATCCTAAAGGGGTGGCTCATTTCTCTTCTTTCCACTCTGCCAAAAGCAGGAAACACTTGGGAATTAATGGCCTGGTGTTTTCCAATTGATCTGCTCTTGTCTTATTACTGTTTGTAGGTTTTAGAACAAGCCCTGAGGACATGGCTTAAAAAGACTAATCCTTGGTGCTTTGTTCCTTTCTTGGCTATAAGGCATCTTATACAAATCCAATACTAGACAAAAAGAAAAGAAGAAAGAAGTCGCAGGAAACAGCAAAGAGAAAAAAATGTGCTTATGAGCTCAACATTAAGAAGAGGGAGATAGCTGGACATTAAATTATGCTGACCCAAGAGAAGCTACTTTGCAAACTTCAAATACAGGTACTTTGTAAAATTTTGCCCATGAGGTCCTATAATGTTCGACACATCCTTTTACCATTTCTTTCTACTGTAGCTACCTTGCAATACCCTTAGACTAAGATACATCTGAGTATGAATTTACAGCACTGTAACTACTCTCACATAACTGACAGTGTGCCATGGCAAATGTAAAGTGACTCCTGCCTCAATGAAAGAGAGGCAAGCCACCTCAAGGAACCTTAATTTACCACAGGCTCAAAGTGTGTACATGGGCAGGGACTGTGGAATAGCTAACACACCAAGTTTATACCCTACCTTCCCTCATGGTAACTTATTCATGTGGCATATCCATAGACTGGCACTCTGAGATACTGTATATTGCAGTAAAACTTGTGTTACATGCGCCGCCATGGAATAGTGTATTCTAGGATTTCATTGTCAAAGCAAATACACCCAACCAAGATTTCGTAGCAAGTTAGACAGCAAGTCCCTTTTTAAAAACATGTTGCTGTGACAGATACTTCAAGAAGTCATGTTAATTAAAACATGTAAACTGGCTTCACCTGCTGTTTTTCCTTTTCTCTGTTTTTATTTATTTGCATATTGTACTCATAGATTCATAGATGTTAGGGTCAGAAGGGACCTCAATAGATCATCGAGTCCGATCCCCTGCATAAGCAGGAAAGAGTGCTGGGTCTAGATGACCCCAGCTAGATACTCATCTAACCTCCTCTTGAAGACCCCCAGGGTAGGGGGGAGCACCACCTCCCTTGGGAGCCCGTTCCAGACCTTGGCCACTCGAACTGTGAAGAAGTTTTTCCTAATGTCCAGTCTAAATCTGCTGTCTGCTAGCTTGTGGCCATTATTTCTTGTAACCCCCGGGGGCGCCTTGGTGAGTACTATCTGACCCCAAATTTGAAAGCACTTATAAATGTACTTAATTTTACACTCAGAAATGTCCTAAGTGCCTATGGAACTAGTCCTGCACAGACATTTGCAAAACAGAAGCCTTGGTGATCAGCAGCTTTTGAAATTTCCTGTAAACAGGCTCATACCATGGGAAAAAAATGTGATCAGTCAAATGAGATCCATATTCAGATCAATGAAAAACAGGTCTGTTAACCTGTCACCTATTTTATTTCATTTTTTGAAATGGCATTGTAAGCCAAAGATGGCATAGCATTGTAAGCCAAAGATGGTTACATTCTTTCAAAAGTACAAACAACCCCCACATTGTTCTCAAAAATGTATTTGCATAAAAAATGAACAGTAATCACCTCTTCTTCAAGCCTGCTATCTCGCAAGGTTGGTGGTATCCCTGGATGTTTCGCGACCAGCAGTTCCATGAGGTTGTGTGTTGAATGTAGTCTCTATACACATACAAAGTCAACAATAATCACACAACAATGTACTGTATCATTATGACAGCAGTGAAATCCTATAGGCGTTTTGTGAACCAAAAAAAGAATCATACAAAAGACTGTAAAGCTAGGATTCTCCTCTGTAAATCTGGAATCATTTTAGGAATGTGGGTGAGCATCATCATCTCTGGATATGGATAAATGCACATTTAAAACCATTTAAAAAAGGGCTGGGGAGTTCTCACTCAGCGCTCTGGAGGAGCTGTTATATTCTAACAATTATGTGTGCCACCTAGAAACAATACATATATAGAAAGCCTAGCTAGCTCCAACTTTCACACTGCTTCATCAAGAGTTCAAATTGGAGCTGTTTTCCTACATTTGTATTGCTCCTTGCTCCCACACACTTAAATTATCGGAACAAAATTGCTGAGGCACACTCCGGATCAGGAGCTTCCCTTTTAAAATGATTTCTTTAAAAGGATTCCAAATGCACGTGTCCAAACCGTATGTGTAATACAAATCAAATACACAAAACAAAACCGACCTCTTCAAGGTTTCACAACAAATCAATGAAAAATTCTCTTCCCTTTGATTTTGTGTGTCATTACTTCCTATCAGAAGCAAGTCATTTACCTTAATGCATATTTGTTTAGAATGGTTGTCAAAAGGAATGTGGAAAGAATTGTTTAGATTTACTTTAAATAGACAAACTTTACAAAAGCCAACAGTTTGAATTCAAGGCAATGCCTAAGAGCTTTTGCCATTTTCTTAAATTTGCAAATATACCTTAACTGGCATAGTTATTGTTATATTAATGGCTGTCATATGATACAATAATACAGATACAATTAATATGAAAAATAAAGCCTTCTTGAATGAATAAACCAAAGATATTATTGGACACTACAAACATAGCTGTAGGAGAAGCACTACTACCTATGTGCAAGGTCCTGCATGAGAATAATGCAAATGCAGTACAATGATCTAAAACAATGGTTTTCAACCTTTTGTCCCCACAGGCCAGATCAGACTCCACATGCCAGGATCAAGGCCCCACCCCCCCCTGCATGCTTGATTTAGCATGCAGGTCCATGACGGCCACTGGGCCCCTACCCACTTGAGGGGCATCCCACGGGCCATATGACATACTGCTGAGGGCTGAATCTGGCCCACAGACCAAGGGTTGAGCTCCCCTGATCTAAAATACTGGTGTTCAACTTTTTTTTTTTTTTTTAAACAAGTGTGAAACAAATCTTAAAAGCAGAAATAGGCCAAGAGCTGCAAAGAAAAACATAGTTCTATAATTTGGCATATCCTAATAGGAAGTATTTAAACTATATTAAAAAAGAAAAGATACATTTTTAGTTATCTCAGTCTTATTAATACAAACTAAAAAGTTCAAGATTCTGTAGTATTATTTTATAAAAATAATTAAATTTGCCAAGGGCCTGTTGTGCATGACAGAGGAGGCATTGAAACTGTCCACACTGGGCTGGACTGAGGTCAAGTGGCGAGGTGCCCAGCTCAGTGCCCTATTCAGCAGCAGGGATTGAGGTTGATGAGCCATCAGCTTGTATTAACTTATAAGGAGCTGTTTGGCTTCCAGATTCTTAGTGTTGGTGGAAGATGGTGGGATCTCAAGCCTGTGGGAAAAGAGGACAGCTTGAGATTGCCTAGCTGGCATCACTGAACCTTGCCTCCCTGAGCTTTCCAATGCCAAATTTCTATCACAGTGGGTGTAAGACCATGCTCTGTCCCAGAGCAGTGGGGCTTTCTCTGAAATAACATTGTTTCTTTTTTCAGGTGCTGTAACTGTGTGGTGCCTGCCAGGGTCTCTACAGCCTTTCCCCTTCCAGGTGCAAAGTTTCCACATGGCTCTGAAGTGCAGAAGCTAAGCCATTGCTGCTGTTTGCCTCCCCCTCCCCTTTTTCCCCACTAAATTTAGCTGCAGGGAAAAAAAAGAATGAACAGCAGTGGTGATGCTCAGCTCCTGGGCTCCATATCGTAATGAAAGCTGTGACTACAGCCAGTGCCCACACTGACATGCTAGTAAGATCAGAGCTTTCACGTGGCTCTGAACTGCAGGAGCTAAACACCACCACTGCTGCTTCCCCTTATTTCTCCCCGCTGCTACTGGATTCAGCGGAATGGGGAGGGAAGAGGAGGTGAATGGCAGCAATGCTCAGCTCCTGCATCCCAGAGCTGCGTATAAGTTCAGTTCTTATTGGCATGTCAGTGCAGGTGAGCAGTGCTGCTGTTCATACCTGCCTTTCCACTGTCACTCAATTTAGCTACCAAAGGAGAAGAAGAGCAGCAGGAGGATCCACCTGCATTGATGCAGTGTCTGGCTGTTCACTCCAGCTGTACAGGGCAGAGGTTGAGCAACCCTGATCTAAAACAGTACTTCAATTCTTTTGGTGGCCACAAGCACTAAGAAAACAATTAGTAAACTAGCCAATTACACTGGCCACTACAAGATATGCAAATATGTCATAGTTCTAACACAAAAAGTAGATCTAAATTACCCTTGTCAAACATGTCTTTTAAAACGTTATTAGGAGTACATGTTCTTTATATAGATATACATGCATAGTATCCTAAAGGTATTTTCTTCTTTCCTGTTCTTTTAGAAATAACATTTCTTGCCAGAACAAAAATCTGATTTCCCTAC